TCGTGCACCCGTACCCCGAAACTCTCGAGCCTCATAATCTCGACCAACTTCGGTCGAACACAATTGTCAACCAATTCACTTTGCATCGTACCCAGAATCTACTCCTCGTCATCTCTACTATTTACCAGGGGCTTCAGCAACAGCAACAGCACCATGTCGTGGATGGACTCTTGGTCCCGCCCGAGCAAACATGCCGTCACTCCACCACCCCTATACCTTACCGTCGGCGACTCAGTCCCATATTGCCACAGCTGCGGTCGAGTCATCGGCGACCGACGTAAAACACAAAAGGCCGCAGAAGTAAAGTACTGCTCAGCAAGATGTCGCAACAGCAAACCCGGCCCGATTGATCGCAAAATCGAAGCCACCTTCGCAGCCCTGCTAAACGGCGCAAGCGTAGAGTCGTTGAAGGAAGATGCCGGGGCCGAGCCTGCCAGTGATGGCGTGAAGATGGACCGGAATGAAGAAGACCATGAGTATGGAAAAGGCCGCAAAGGCGAAAAGAAGCACAAGAAGAAGTCCTCCAAGACGACAAAGGGCGATCACAGGATCATCGTCGAATGCAACACTGTAGAAGAAATCGTCTTCCAGCGCGAAAAAGACCCCGAGAAAGTGTACGGGCGCCGTAAAAACCGCAAAGCGCGCTTTGTAGTCGAGAAACCAGAGGACTGGCGAAGCGTAGATATGATCGATCACCCTGCACCAGGAACTGCTTCCAGCGGCACAGAAGCTTCAACACAACCTCCGCCCCCAGATCTCACCAGCGACGAAGACACCATTTCAGACTCAGAGGGCGAGGCCGAAGGCGGAATCGTCTTGGAGCATTCCTCGCCGCCAGGAACCACCTCGCATGCTCTCCCCGACACAATAGAATATGGCTACGGATCCGGCAAGATCCGGCCGCCTCAAGCCCAAAACGACGTTAATGGCTCAGTCGGCGGCGAAAAAGGCTGGGCCGAGCGCATTGAAGAGACGGACGAGATGAAACTGAAGCGCCGCGAAGGCCAGCGCAAAGCGGATGAAAGGGAAATGGTGCGCAAAGCTGCGAGACGCGGATGTGCCTTTGGCTTTACGGTTCCCGACGAGCCTGAGAAGAGAAAGTGCGAGGCCGTCATGAAGGGTGCTGTTGTCGAAGCGAGCTTTGCAAAGGGTGAATGGGGTGTTAGGTGGCGAGAACGTATATAAGAAACATCAACTAAGCGCATCACATGGAAAATCTTGTACTTTATGGTGGAGAAAGAAAAGGTATGGCTCTAGATAGAGCCAAAATAAAACGTGCGATTTTATACGCCAAACGAGCCGTGGGTATCAAGAGTATCGGCAACTATTGAAGAAAAGAACGAGGGACTAAACAAGAAGGCGTTTACGATCCCCTCCCATGCCGCCTGTTGCGAAGCAACATTCCTCTTACACATAAAAAGGGGGGGGGGTTAAGAGCGAAAAAAAATGGTGACAAACTCATCATTAAAACATAATAACTCACCACTCATACATCTTCCTGACGCACCCACTCACCATCGTCGCGCATTAGCCATCCGCTTTCCACTAGGGCTGCGCCGTATTTCTCTTTGGGGTGGACAATGTGCTCGAAGCCTGGTCGGAGTCCAGTACCAGATCTATCCGTTGTTAGTATGTTGATCTCACAAACACAAATCCTGTAGATATACAACTTACTTGATCATGTTGAGCGCCATGTTCCTGACCTTGTCCTTGAGATTGACTTGCGTCCGGCCTTCCAGGAAGTTGCCGTTGCTCTTATCGTATGTGAGGATCGTTGAGTACTTGGCTGGGTACATGCGCATGTATTCACACAAGGCATCTTCCTCCTCGTTGGACCATCCTTTGCGGGGCTTGCGCTCGTTTCGATATCTGCGAGTCTGGAGCCGTTGGTTCTCCTGAGCAAGTTGACGTTGCGCCTGATAGTTTGAGGATGGAATTTCTTCAGTCATCTCAGGGGCTTCGGGCTCAGAGACGGAGTCTGCTTCCTCCGGCGGTTGTCGGGATGATCGGGTTCGGCGTGGAGGTTGATGACTCGGTGGGGGAGCGGATGCCGGAGGGTCGATACGAACTTTTTTGGTGACTGGAGCGTTGCGCCGGCGTTCTGGGACGCGGAGACCGCGGTCTTCGCTTTCGAATGCATCGTCAGAGTCGGAGTCGTCCATTGGTCGTGAGCGTTTGCGCGATGATGTCTCTGGAAGCGGCTTTGCTTTGTTTGTGTTAGACGGCTCTGGTGTAGGCTGTGTTTCGTCGAAACCATCTCCAAACTCTACACGCTGCGCAGTAACCTGTCGGTCGAATATTGATACTGGGCGATTCTCCTTCTGAGGTTTCCCCACAGCTTTCAAGCGTTTGAGTAAAGCTGCTGAACTTTGCGGTGGATTAGACGCGACAGGTTCTCCAGATTGGTCTTCCCTTTCCTCGGTAACCTCTCCCGGCTGTGCTTGATCCTGTGGGTCTTGTGGGTTCTCTTCTGTTTGCCGCTGTTGTTCGTCGTTTTCAGGTACTGGCTGAATGCTATCTTGTTCCGGGGGTTCTGCCAGAGGCTCTTCTTCTCCTTGCACCTGTTCTTCTTCTTCCTTTGTTTCTGCTTCCGCTACTTGTTGAATTGGCTCTTTGCTCTGTTCTTGTCGAGAAGGATTGACTTCAAAATCTACTCCAGAGTCACGTTCCCTGGCCTTCAGCATATCAATGGCACGAAAGTCTACAGCAGCATTGGGATCAAACTTGCGACTGCTACGTCGCCTCTCTCGTCCAAATGAGGTCCGCTTCCTCCGCGGCGATTCTTGTGGGATTGACTGGACATTCGCTTGCTCAATCACAGGCTGTGGCTCCTCGAAGAGCTTCTTAACGTCGCGCGCAATTGCCGCTGCTCCACCAAGATCCTCAATCGCCCCAAGCAGCTCCTTACGTCGCAGACGCACCCACGCTAACAAGCGAAGAATCGTTGCTTCCCAAGGAAATTTCTCTCTCAGTCGTTCCAATTCGACAAGCTCGCCACGCTGCAACGAATCCTCGTCCGTTAGAAAGAAGCGCCGAATCTCATTCAAGCGCGCTACAACTTGATCTTGAAGTTCCTGGGGTAGTGGACACTCGTCGCCTCCCAATGCTGCAGTGTTCCAACCACGAATTAGAGAGCCGTCCACAGCTTGTGATGACTCTGAGCGGAGGAAGATTTCGCTTATTGTTTCTTCAGGATCGAAGTCGAGGCTGTCGGGCAATTTTTGAAGCACCAGTATCGCCAGTTGGGTCCGCAGCTCCAGTGCAAGCAGGAATGTCTCTCTAAATAGTCTGCTCTCGCCTTTACCAGACGGTTGTGCGTTAGGGTCTAGTGAGCGCATGAATTGTACAGGGAAAGTGTTGTCTAGCCGTCGTAGCACATCCCACATGGTCTTGTCATCTCTGTCGGAGTAAATCATTTGTTTCGCAAAAATAAGCAAGTTCGTCAGGTATAATATGAGATCAAGGCCAGCATCCGATGCGGCAGTCTGCACGTCAGTGCCGAAGAGAGCGCGATGGAGCGCGCGGACATGGATGTAATCTTCGCTCTTGAAGTGCTTTAGATGCACATTCAGTTCTATCTCATAGTCAAGATACTCCTCGGAATAGGCAGAGCCCGGCTTCTGCATCTCTTTTATATTTCGTAAATCGTCCGGCATAGACGCACCGCTGGGCGCAATGTGTTCCAAAAATTCGTCCGCGGAATCGCAAAGCTTGCGCAAGTGTTTTACAATGAACCTGGACTCCAAGAATTCGGCCTCGACCATGCTGAAAGAGGAAATCGCAGTGGTTCCAGACATTTCGGATATGGCGCCGGGGGAACGAAATGGCATAGGGATTTCTGGAGTTGCGTGTTCAGGCGTGCCTGGGGGTTCAATCTCGTCGAGCGCTAGCTGGGTATCTATTTCTTCTACGACAGTGAGGTCTAAGGCACATTTATCAGCCATGGGCGAGTCTAGCAACTGGTAATCAAGTCACGACTGCGTAGGATTGTGCAGATGATGTAGCGGGTCGCAAAGTGACTACTGACCTTCCAACGCTTCTTTCGTGGCTTCGCGCCTTGTCTGACGCGCTTGAATTTCCTCGCTCTCATTGTCGCCGGTTACGGTTACGGAAGTGACGCTTCCCTGGCGCGCGGATCGACGGGCGGGTTTCTCAGCAGGAACAAAGTCTGTTATTTCGCGACTTGCACTGCGCAAGCTTCTTGCGCGTGATGTGCGCGCTGTTTGTGACGCGGTAGTCTTGGAGAGAGGTAGTTGTGGGGTAGGGGTTTCGCGTCGGCCTGCAGACCGCACACCTCTACTGTCAGCCATTAGGATTCGAAGGGGCACGTTGTATCGACAAGCAGAACATGCGGCGGAGGGTGCGTGGGTGGCGCGACCAAGTGCTGACGGCGTATGTGAGTATTAACGGTGGTGACGCTGACTTGTTTACCGTCTGATGCGCGACTGAAGCTGACTAAGGACGCCCGCCCAACGGGCAGTCACGTGGTCGGAACCAGCCATGAGTCAGCACCGGCCGTCGCAGTCTAGGGGTGGGTCTCAAACGTGGGCAGGGGGGAAGCCAGTGAAGACGTGCATACGAAGCGTTTGAGGTCGAGACGGGACTACGGCATTCAAGGGATGTTTCCGCCTTTGCTCACTCCACTGTCAGAATTCCCTGAAAAGAAAAACACCCCCTAAACTAGTGCCTGAGGTGCTTGCGTACACACTCGGACTAAATATAATACCTGGGCTGCCTGCACGCCTGCGCCCTCCTCCACACGCCGCTCACCCCAGTGTAACTCGACTGGCGTACGCCCAAACGCCAAGCGCGCCCGTTTCCAACTCGAATCCAATTAACTCGTTGCACTTCCACATTCCTTCGCCACATCTTCTTCTGTTCTCGTCGCTCTCTACATACGTACACTTACGACCCTTTTCCTGCCTACGCTTCAATTCGTCGCCGAGGACCCTTTCCTTGCCCTCTTACCCTCCCTCGCTCACATCCCAATTGCTTTCGTCATGAAATTACGACAGCCAGGGCCGCAAATCTTGCTGCTTCTCCTGCCCGCTCTACAAGTCCTTGCTACACCCAGCCCAGTTGACACCACCACCAACAAACGACTCGCGCGAGCAGCCGCACCCGCTTCCGCTGACGCCACCCTTCTCGCCGAACTCCCTCTTGCATCCCCGACAGTTGCAAAAGGCACCAAAGATGCACCCGTCGACGGCCACGATGGCTTGCCTCATCACGGCCCATATGTTGCCGACGTACCCAAGGCTCATGGCAAAGCTCCAAATGTCGTAGAGGACCTAGGGGCGGCGAAGAAGCCAACAGTCTCATCCAGCACCGTTCTGGTCGACGATGTGCTGGATGGTGACAAGAGCGTCATGCAAGATCCCACACGGAAACTGGCTACGGGCAGCAAAGGCACCGAGGGTGGTGTTTCTGCAAAGGACAAGGAGCGTTTGGCGCATGAAGAAAAGACGGGTTCGAAGATGGAACAAGTTCCTGAATCGCCCAAAGAGGCGCCTCCTCACCCAAGCGACCAGAAGCAATTAAAGGGAGATGCAGGAGATGCAGCAACTTCTTCGCGCGTACTCGGCGCAGGCGGATTGGAGGTAGGGTTCAACGTGGCTACAACTACGACATGATGCTAACTTTACGACAGAAACCCACCGACCTTCCCGAGTCTCCTCATGACAACCCCCTCCCCGTTCCAAACTCAGTTTCCAGCAAAGATCCATTAGACACTTCTTCTTCATCCAAGACACCCTCTTTGACACCTGGCGGGGATGCCGACGCCGGCGTTGTACAGCCCTTCCACTCCTTGATCCTTGCCTTTACTATGATTATATTCTCGGAAATCGGTGACAAGACGTTCCTTGTTGCAGCTCTCATGGCCATGCGACACCCACGGTTACTCGTCTTCTCTGCCGCTTTCTCTGCTCTGGTAGTCATGACAGTGCTTTCTGCCGTCATGGGCCATGCCGTCCCTGCACTCCTGTCTGAACGCTTTACGCATTTTGCCGCCGCCGCTCTCTTCCTCGTCTTCGGCGTAAGGCTCATCAAGGAAGGTCTCGCCATGAGCCCAGATGAAGGTGTTGGAGAAGAGATGCGAGAGGTGGAGCAGGAATTGGAAGAAAAGGAGCAGCTTGCACGACACCAGGGCCGCCGAAAGGCTTCCGTCTCTCCCTATGCTTTGGAGTCTGGCCGTGGTGTACGACGCTCACGATCGAATTCGCGACTACCCGCACCTGCTCGAAGCCCCTCCAGCTCACCCGACCGCATGCCGTCTCCACGCGGAGGCTCAATGTCCAGCACAATGGGTGCTGTCAACAACCTATTTTCTTTGCTTCTCAGTCCCGCTTGGGTTCAGACGTTTGTCATGACATTCCTCGGAGAATGGGGCGACCGTAGTCAGATTGCCACAGTTGCCATGGCTGCTGGTTCAGACTACTGGTATGTCACTGCTGGTGCCGTGGTAGGCCATGGCCTGTGTACTGCAGGTGCCGTCATTGGGGGCCGTGCCATCGCTGGCCGCATTAGTATGCGCAATGGTAAGAACATCTCTCTCTGTTTTCTTAAAGCATGTCTAACATTACACAGTGACTCTTGGTGGCGCGATTGCCTTCCTCGTCTTTGGTGTCATCTACCTTTTCGAAGCATTTTACCTCTCTTAGAGGATACGATCAATCAATAGCATTATCGGGCGTGTTTGGATGGAAAGAATCACGGGCTTGGACTCCAATACCGTGCCTTTTCATATGTGTGGCTTTATTTCTAAGTATTTTTAATTTTACCTACTGTTTCTCTATGCACGACTGTAAACTTTTCAAAAATATGTCCGGATGGGGTATCTAGAGGATTCCAGCAATGAAGCCTACACAATATGATCTACTGTCTATCAAGTTGCAACTTTGTTTGAACCATTGCGGGTCCCGGATTTAGTGTTTTCAGATGAAGCCCCTCGCATGGTTCGAAACGATTCTTGAGGCATATCGTATAAACTTTCGGTATAATTACACGCCCAGCGGTGTGACAAGAATAAGCTTTTAGGACAGGCGCCATCGCCATGATGTGGTAGTGCAGGAAGGGTGATGGAGTGGAGGCATGGGCTTGGCGCTAATCCCTGCCTTCGCCGCGGAAGAGACCCGCTGGCCCTTGCAGCACTCGAGCTCCATGAACACTTCACGAACAAAACCTCCTCTCTATCCAGCAGTTGCCCTATCCGTCGTCGGGAAACACCGCTATCCGCTCTTGCGCTCTGTGGGCATTTGCGTCTGATCGACCGTCTATCATAGTCCGCTACTTGGCCTCTACGACAACGCGCGTCCACTTGTATCGGCACCTACGACTTGCGCAGCACTCCATCTCTACCCCCAAACGTTGGTGCTCTTAGCCTTTGGCTATGGTTTCGACCACATCCAGCGCAATGGTGCCACAGCGCGAGCCTCCTCGTCCGCCACCGCCGGCGGTAGTCGAAGCCGAAATGCAGTGGATATTCACAGAAGAAGAGCTGCTTTTGGCGCCGTCGATAACCGATGGAATGGCTGCGGAAGAAGAGCGGACACTGCGACGGAAAGGCGTGGGCTTCATATTGCAGGTGGGCATGATGCTCAAGCTCCCACAGACGACTCTGAGCACGGCTGCCGTGTTCTTCAACCGCTACCTGATGCGAATGAGCCTCAAGCCACGGCCTGGTTACAAGCCACTTCACCATTATGTAAGTCTACGTATAATGGCTCCTGTATCCGAGCGCATCTAACATTACCAGCAAATCGCTGCGACTGCATTATTTCTCGCTACCAAAGTCGAAGAGAATTGCCGCAAGATGAAAGAACTCGTCGTGTCATGTGTCCGGGTTGCCCTTAAAGACCCCAACAAGCTTGTCGACGAGCAAACAAAGGATTTCTGGAAATGGCGGGACACCATTTTGTACAGCGAAGATGTTCTACTTGAGGCCCTATGTTTTGACCTCAACGTTGAATCGCCATATAAGATCATGTATGACATGATGAAGTACTACGGTGTCGAGCACAATAAAAAGCTGCGCAACTCGGCCTGGGCTTTTCTCTCCGACTCGACATCCACGCAAATGTGTCTGCTGTTTCTCTCACGAACAATTGCTGCAGCATCGCTGTATGCTGGCGCGCGCATGGCCGAGGTTGAGCTAAGCGACGACGAAGGCAAGCCGTGGTGGGAGATTCAGCACGTCCAGCTGCGCGACATCAGAAAAGCATGCAACCTGATGGCCGATCTGTACGAGAAGACGCCCGACAAGGACGGCGAGCCTAACATGTACGCTGGGCTTAGAACACCCGAAGATGGCATCAACTTTGGAGACACGCCTAGGAGCATGGAAGGAGTCCAGATGACCAGTCAAAGCCAGCCGACTGCTAACGGCACTGCGGATGGGAACGTGACGGAGAGGGGCAGCGAAGAGGGCGAGTTGGATGGCTAGGAGTCGACTTCCGCAAATTATATGGCTGATAATGAGTCGTCTGTCAGTGAGGATTCGGGGTTACTTGAGCTCGACTATTCGGCTGATAACGAGTCGTCTATTGACGAGGACCCGGACTCAACTTCTGTTATTGAGGAACTGCGATCGGCCTTTAGCGACTCCTCATCTGATGAGTCTTTTGTCAAGGCGGCGGGTAACAGAACATGTTCTCCATCAACACTAAGGTAGAAGGGTTTGTCTTTGTGTGTGTGAAGTTAGTTGGAAAGGGATACGCGCTGCGCACGTTTGTATGTGAAGCGGGTTGGGTTGGGGCGCAAACAGGGCGTTTTTGGGAAACAGGGGCAAAGATACCACTAGGGGATACACATTTTTACGTTCCCCATTATTATTTTTATTGCGCCTTGGAAAATGGATATTCTTCATTATAAATATTGCTATCTTGATGTGTCATTGTGGTGATGTCTGACATGCTTTTTTACCTTAATTACTCCGCAATAAGCAACGATAAGCGCGCAGCATTATCAGTAGTGCGAAATACGAAAAGCTGACATAAGCCCCCATATAACTTTATCTTCACAGCAGAGGCAACAACTTACTTTGGCAAAAGTCAACTTGGCGCATACAAAAACATGTGTTTCTGTTGCCTAGATAACAAGATGCCCTCCCACGTGCGAGCCGTTATCGTGCCGTATCGACCGTATCTCGTACCCATGGCGCGCATGACTCGGGTAGACTTTCCATTGCCGAGGCATCTTTTAAAGGGTTGGAAATGCGAAGGAAACGACGTCAAGACTTTTGCACCCTTATTTCTTAAACGCCACGTAGAAAGGAAACCCACCTACTGTTCCTTTTTTGATTTGAAGGCCTGACACGTTTGATACTATCACTTTTGAACTTGGGATATATAAAACGTTGCTTTAGAACGGTTGCTTGGAGGCGCATGCATACTTGACTCTCAGATTCCACTACAACAAGAAAGAAAGAGAAAAGGGGAAGAGAAAAAGAAAAGAAGATGGACTCCTCGCCCACATCCCTCCTCAAACTCCTCCTCCCACAAACCCCCTTACTCGTCAAAACCGCCCTCTGGCACTCCCTCTCCCTCACCCCCCAATCCAGCAAATGGGACTTGAAAACCTCGCTCACCGTCACCATGATACGCGAGATGATGGGGCCGAACGCCTCTCCTCAGCCCATCGGTAAAACCCAGCGTTTTACACTACGGGACCCGGGTGTAAAAGGGAAAATGTGGGTTAGTAAAGTCAGCTTGCCTATCCCGGGTGAAGACGATGTGCGGCAACTTGTCTTCAAAGCGATCAAAGATATGGGTACCGGGGAGGAAAAATGGGAAGAACCCCTGCAAAAGGGACTAGAAGCGGAGTGGAATGGGTATCGCGCTGCAGCGAAAGAGGGGGAAGGGGAACCGGTGGGGATGGACGAGAAAGAGAAGTTTGAGGCGTTGATGAAAGAGACGACGGGGGAGACTACGGTGCTTTATTTTCATGGGGGAGCAATGTATTTGCTTGATCCAAGTGGGTATCGTGGGTTGGGAGCACGGATTGCGCGCGAGACGGGCGGACACGTATTCAACGTGCGATATAGATTATCGCCACAGAATCCGTTTCCGGCGGCGCTGCTGGATGCGTTTACGGCGTACCTTTCGCTCTTATCGCCGCCGCCCGGTGCATTCCACGAGGCTGTGCCAGCTAGTAAAATCGTCTTTGGAGGGGACTCGGCGGGAGGACTGTGCTGTACGGCTCTCTTGCAGCTTCTGCTGCAAATTCACAGGAGCACGCCCGAGGGAAAAACGCCTACGGTGCGCTTTCACGGCAAAGACGTCGAAATACCGCTTCCGGCTGGCCTGGCGTTGACCTCCCCTTGGATCGACATCACGAGGGCGTTACCGTCTATAGAAAACGAAACCACATTCGATTACCTGCCGCCACCCAGCCAAACCGACAAGAGAGATATCCCAAAAGATGATGTTTGGCCTGCTAATCCCCCCCGTGCGGATCTCTACTGCGACGCTAGTGCCTTACTACACCCCCTCGTGTCTCCGCTCTCCGCACAAGACTGGTCGGGCAGTCCGCCCTTGTTCTTCTCCATCGGCCAGGAGATGCTGAGGGATGAAGCTGCTGTCCTCGCTCAGCGCGCTGTCAGGCAGGGGGTAAGTGTTACGTGGCGCGAGTTCGAGGCTATGCCGCATGTTTTTGCGGTGTTGTTAGAGGGGTTGGGGGAGAGTGAGGTGCATTATAAGGAGCAATTGGAGTTTATAAACAAGGTTGTCGAGGGAGCCAAGGAGAAGCTAGACAGCACCGCAGTCCTAATCCGCGCAAAAACACTAAAGAGAGAAGACAAAGACGTCGCAGCCGGTCTAACGCAAATCACAGATGCCGAAGCCAAAGAAATGATGGTCAAGGGAAAAGAAAGGATTGAGAGGAAATTCGCACGGGGTAAGGATCCAGCGGCTGAGAGACCTATGTTGTAAAACACCTCCGTCTCGTCTTTATGTAACTAGTTCATTTTCATAGCTAGTTACCCATTATTCTTCTTTTGAATTTACAAAATTAAACACACAAATATATATATACCAACCCCACCCTTACTCCCCCTTCCCACCCCCCCTCCTCCTCGCAACCCCCCTCTCAACCCCACTCTCCAACCCAGTTCCTAGTCCTGAATCCGTAAACACGGCCTCCCTCTCGACCCCCACGGGCAACGGAACTTCAAGTAAGAAATCCTCATCCTCATCATCCGCTTCCGCCTCTTCTTTGACTGGGATATCTTTAAGCACAGGTTCATTACCAGCCTCTTGCTTCACACCGCCAGACGAACTATACGAAAGGGGATACTGCGAGGGCAAGGTAGGAAACGTGCGACTAGTCTCACTAAACGGGGTGCCAGGATCCGTTTCCTCTGCTTTAATTTTCTTTTCCTCCTCCTCCTTGCTTTCCTTATCATCCTCACCCTCATGCGAAGAAGACGAAAAAGAAGAACTAAGCACCGTAAATGCCCCCCAAGTAACCACCAGCACCCCCATCTCCATTCCCCAAAACCCCAAAATGCCCAATATCCCGCTGAGAATCCGGTAGCGATACATGACCCAGCGTATCCCCTCCAGGCGCGCGGTAATCTGCACGCTAGCACGATACACTTCGAGCGGGAGTTTGGACCGGAGTTCGAGACGCAGGGAAGAAGGAACGTTGCGGTAACCAGGCTCGAACAAGACCGATTCCATCATTTTGATGCGGACATGTTCGGATTCTTTGTGCATGCCTAGTAAGTACAGCGGGAGGCGCATGAGACGGTACATGATTTCGAGCACACGACTCCGATACGTCAGTATCGCCGGTCTCTTACTCCTTGCAAGCACTGCAGGAGTCTGAGATGTTGTTGTTGTTGTTGTCGTAGTATCGTCCATCACAATGTTCTTCTCGGGAGTAGTACCCGGCGCACCGCCTTGACTATGGTCTTCAACATTCCACTCTTCATCCCAGCCCAACAAGTGTTTTACACCCTGCCCTCGCGTCGTCGGGCCACGGAATTCCAGCCCAACCATCCAATTCCCGGCTTTCAAATTGGTTTCGCTTCTAGGCAGGTCGAGTTCAACGACTACGTCGTATTTCTGGCGGTCGACCAGTCCCGGTATGTTGGCGAGTCCGTACGGCCATTTGGTCGTCTTGCCGGCTGTCACGCCATCGGCTGGTGTGGGTGCATGGAGAGAGTGCGGAGTGTGATCGTATTGCAGATATACGGGTACGACGATGCCGCGGACGGGGATGTAGGCGTAGTAAAAGGATGAATAGGCTACGACGGCGAAGCCAAAGAGGATGGTGGATGCGATGAAGAGAAGGGCGGTGCGTAGATATGTTCGTAGCAGGGCTGGCGATGTCGCGATGCGAAGGGGTAGAAGGAGGGAGTCCTAGATGTTTCAATCATTGGTACGCGTGGGCGGAGAGATGCAATCGTCGCGACGACGGGCCGGGGACACCTTACAATTACAACCCGTACAATTGACCTGTCCTGGTGAACATCATCTTCGAGTTCCTCCATAGCCACCCGCTATACTACACAGCAGACGTTTGTGGTTGTTAGAATGCGTTTTTTTTTTCACACGCGCTTGATCTTCACATGCTGTCGCGCGCCACACTTGGGGTTGTGACGTAGCTTGCACAGACCACATGCACTAAACATTTGCACATCACTCCACCACTTCACAACTCAATCAAAACCATCAAGTCATGGAATAAAGTTTTCATTCAAGCAATACAGCAGTAGAAAAGAACCCGACCCTAATCCTACACCATGTCTGTTGCCTATCCCATTACCCGACTCCATACAAAGAAAAGAAAAGAGTACACGATGGACCCGTGAGCAACCCCGTCGGCCTCTCAACGCCATCAGGTCGACAGCCTGCAAGCCGTGAACCCAAAACGCCAGAGGAAGCAGAAACCCCATTTCAGATCGTGCTTGCGGGTGAAACACATGGCATCATTCCCAAAATAGCCTGTTTACTCCTTTGAGGGAAAACAAGTAGCCACACAGGAAGAAGATGGAAATAAACAGTCGCTTGTAAATCAGGAACAAATGAAAAAAAAAACAAATGAAATTCGTCAGAAGCGCGACGAGGCTGCACTAGCCGAACCAAGCCGGTGCGTAGCCGCGTACTGTAATCTCCGCTCTAAAAGCCAGTAGTATCCCGCAACTTTTATCCGGACCGTCTAAAGGGCCCAAGAGGAACTTTTGGAAAACATGCACATGCATGATCAAGTCCGTACTAACGACATAGCCGTGGGGAACAGCTAGAAGTAAAAGGCCGTGGGTATCGTAACATCGTAGGCAAACCTCCCCTAGTCCTACCTCTTCCTCTTCCTCGTCCTTGCTGCCCATCGTCTGGCATGCCGTGGTTGATGTTTGTGGCGACAACCAGTGCCGAGTGTGTATGAGTGTGTTCAGGAAAAGCGTCCCATTCGAGGCGGTCCTCGAGGGGAGCCCATGACCGAGCTTTGCAGTCGGCCCGTAGCCTTAGTAACGCCTGATAGGGGCGAACTCTGGTTCATGTTGGTGTGGTTCTTCAAAGGCGACTTGGCCACGCGGTTTGATCGCGAACGCTTGCGAAGTGGTGTGATCAACGCCTCAGCCGACTTTCCAGAACGAACCGGACGTGAGACCGAGGCTCGAGCTGCTGGGTCTGACGGCAGAGATGCTACATCGCGGTAGCGGTTTTGGTTGGTACGGAAAGCGGTAACGACACCGCGATCAAAGTGCTCAAGCATGACATCCGAGGTCGTTCTCTTGCGGGTTTGTGGGGTGGTAGTCGAGGGTGCAGCCGGAGTCGAGCCATGGTTTGCCACCTGTGAGGTTGCTGGAGTTGCGGGCACATCAGTGTCGTCGACATCTTCATCCTCGTCGAGATCGGTATCATCACCGTCAGAACCAAAATCCATGAAGTCGGTAATGTTGATGTCATCCTCGTAATCGTCACTCGAAGAACCATCCTCGTCTTCGTCAACGATGCCCATGTTGCCGTTGGAGGATATGCTTACGAAAGGATAGAAAGCCTCGGGAGGACCGACGCTTTCGCTTCCAAACACAAAGTCGTTTGGACCAGACCCAAAGATACCCGAGAGCATGATGTCGGTGCTGAGGCCGTTGTTGAAGACCTCGTTGCTGACCTCGCTATCAGAGGCATTGTTGATTTGCGCAACAGAGTTCCTAGGGCTGTTGTTGACGGTGCTGCTAGTGCTACTGTGATAGTCTGTTAGAGGGATCCATGGGATCAGCACTGTGCGAGGACGATAGAAGCTGACGGCCTTGGTGGCACGGTTAGTGACGGCAATGGCCTGGTCAGTCTCGTCGTGGATGAAGATGCCGCGCGTAGGGGGAATTTGGCGACCGACAGGCCGCGCGCTTCGCTGAAAGGGCTTGGGCGTGCTGGCGCGCGACCCGGGTGCTGAAGAGGGTCGGTGCAAGACAGACTTGTTTTGGGTTGGGGTGCGTGGCAAAATGTCGTTTTCAAAATCTTCTTCGTCAGTGGTATCACCCATGTCGGCTGAGAATGTATGTTAGTCAGATGGTCAAAGTTGTCGTAGGGCACTACCATACATTCATAGCCGCTAGATTCGCTCGACTCTCCCTCGGACTCATCCGAGTTGTCGAGCTGAGTGATACGAGACTCGTTCTGCTCAAAATCCCAAAAGGAAATGTCAGACTGAGGAGAAGCCATGTCTCCATTGTCATCATCGTTGTCCATCTCAAGCAGCTGATGCAAGCTAGGCGGGATCTTGTCTTGATCCATGAAGAGATCTGGAAAGATGCTGCTATCGAGCTCTGATGACTCTGAGCTAGAGCTATCTGACATTGGAACATCGTCATCGAAGCGGACACGCTTGGCAGAGCCGTCTGAAAACTTCCTCTTTGCCATGGGGACGGGTGATGCGGGGACAGCTTCGGGCTCAAAGAAGGGGGTGAAGCCAAAGTCAGGAAGCCCCGCCATAAAGGCATCATCTAAGGGAGCAGTGACGTCGAAGATGTTGTCGCTCAGGCAGCTATCAAGGCTGAGGCGGCGAGCATCACGATACTCATTGAGAAGGGTAGTAGCTTGCTGCTCTTCTTGCAGGATGTAGCTCTCTTCTTGCTTCTCCATCAGCTCCATGTCAGACTCATCGTCATCAGGGACGAGATTGACGCCACTGTAGTCTTCATCGTCGGTCTCAATAGCGTTGTCATTGGTCTGTGCGTCTTCATTGTCGGTGTAGGTTAGCAGGGGAACACTGGCGGCATTGCTCAGTTTGCGAGCAATCTTGCGCCTGGGAAACGACTCTTGATCGGTCGAGTCATCGCCAAAGAGAACTGAAGTGCTTGAGAGATTACTAAAGGTACGTTTCTTATTACTCATTAGTAGTTGGTTCACGGGGTGCTTGCTGGGTACAAGGCGCAGCCCCGTTGTTTGGGACGCGGTCTCATCGTCTTCAGCGTGAGACTCGTCGTCATCTACAGGGTCGATGCGGATAGCAGGCTGCTTTCCCTTTCCCTTTCCTCCCCTGCTGAAGCCAAAGGGACGGGCAGGGACGTCGTCGGTGTCGGTCTCATCATCCAACTCGTCATCTTTTACAGCACTACTGTCATCGTCCTCGTCGTCTTCGTCGTCGGCAGCGCCTTCAGTGGCGGATTGGTCACCGCCACGGCCTTCAGAATGGTGTGTGCTTCCTGATATTGTGTCTGGAGATGTGGACCGTTGGTGAGTGCGGTGGATGTCTGCGGCAGCGTTGTGCGATGGGCTGCGGTCTTGCTGGTGGCGGTCTGAAAGACCCTTCATGGATGGTCGGGTGTGTGTCCTATGCGCCATGGTGGGCTGTTTGTGTTGTGGAAATTTTTTTTCACTCTCTGTTTTTTTTTTCCTTTGATGAAAATGGTGGCGGTGGAGTAGGTGAATGAGGGTGTCGGAGAGGAAGAGAGATGTGGTTGGTAGGGCGGGTAGTATGTCACAATTGGGGTTATGTTCAAGAAGGATAGTGTGTGGGAGAGAGTAGGTGTACTGTGAGGGGCGTGTCAGGGCGTGGGAACTATGCTGGGGCCCTTTGAGCTTCGTCGATCTTGCAGCAGCTGTGGAGCAGGGCTGCAAAAGACAATGGTGGAATTTTTTGCTAGCGCAGGCGGGACGATTGCCAATTGAGTGGGACGGATTGGGGCAGAGGGTACTGCACGCAGTCTGGTATTGGTATCGTCGAGGAGATTGGGAATTCCGTGAGCTGTCGGGCTGATGCAGCCCGTGGGTGGGGCTGCACCAGGAGTTTAGAGCTCAGCGCGTGCCTGCGGCATTGTCTCGACGAAAGGAGGAGTAGGGATGGGGGGGGGTCTGGAGTGGTCCTGGTAAGAATCTGAGCGACTTTGACGTCTTGGGGCTGGTGCGGAGAGAAAAGATGCGGGCGAGGGCAAAGGATATGTTTAATTTTTAGTTTGGCCCTAGCGGCATATCGCATGGTCCGGGCGGGCTACCTAGTCCTGCCTGGCTGCAGCGATGACTCCATGTCGAGCAACCACCACACCACACGGGTAAAATGCACCCGCCACGGATGCCACGATCAATGGCTCGTTGGTGTTTTTGTTTTTTTGGCGCGCAATTGGTGGTGAGCAGTGTGCAGAGGCCATGGCCGGGGCGCATCCCGCAGCGTCTGTCGCGTGCCCCTCGCTGGAAATTTTGGTCGTCTGGCCGAACTGCCCCACTGGCCCTAATGCGGACGAGGACATGGCGATGAGGCAACACGGGGCTAATCGTTGCTAACGGCTGGATCCCATTGGCTCAAGCCTGTCCGGAGCGCCCTGGTCAGCACATGCTGCGGCCAACAGCAGACTGGCTAGGGATGTATCGACGTACATATTCACCTGCGAGCCATGTGTCCATGTACTTACATACTCATCTTGCTGCTGCTGCTGCTGCTGCTGCTAGTACTGCCCTCTGGCGCCGCCGTCGATGCAAGCCCGCCTTTAGAGCAGAAGAGAGCAGCAATAGATCGCTCATCAGGGCCCCGCCGTCGTCGTCATGGCATCGTCGAGCGCTCGGCTCACTGCCCCTCCAAACACCCCCCCATGGTGGTCCTTGACGTCGTCGGGCATTGCAGCCCCTCCAGATGCATCGTCTATCGATAGGCATAGGCACTGCCCCGTATGTGTGTGTGCGTGTGTGGGAAAGAAGCGGTGAGGGCCTTGGAGACGTAGCCCCGGCGCCTCAGCCTTGAGACTCACAGCCCTCGCACTCGGCGGGCCGTTGCTTGCTTGCTCGTGCTGATGCTGATGCTGCTGCTGCCTATCGCTTCCCTCCAAGCACACACGCACACTCGCTTATGCGCCACTCACGCCAATCCCACCAATTTTATTTGCACCTCAAATTTACTTCCCGCCGCGGCCTCATCCGCCCGCAATCATGCCTCACCTCACCTCACTGCTGCTGCTGTTGCTGCAAGTATAACCTCCCGCAGACGTCAAGCCAACTTTTTTTTTACCCGCCCCCCTCCAGACTGGGACTGGGCCATGGCTTGGTATTAGTGGGGGAGGAAGGATGGCAGCATGCAGAACATTGGTGCATCTCCCGTCTCCACAGCCTCTTGGTTGGATCAGCAGCCAGACCTCCCCCCGGCTCGCCCTCTCTTTCTCTCTTTCTTGACCTGGGGGCCGCCTGGCAATTACCCTCGACGTGTCATAAGCCCGTCCATCTAATAAGCCCTTGCTTGGCTCTCGGCCCTCTACTGACACAGGTCCCATTGCCTCCCATTCGCCGTCTTATCCCTCTTGGCCTGCTGTAGTCACGTCAACCGACGTCTCAACTACCACGACTTTTTGCTTTTCATGAGGCCATATTCGCTTTTTTTTGGCTGCTGCAACCAACGCACTCGCTCTCATGGCCGGCCGTGGTCTGGCCAAGGCAAAAAACGTCAACGGCTGCTTGGGAAAAAGTGGGGCCCCCTAGTGGAGCCCCAAACCCACGAACACGCTCAGGGTTTGCCAATTTCTCCATCACGCGCGCCTCGCCTTGCCCCAGTCACCAACCACGTATGTATACACAGCATGCACTACAGTAAAAGGTACCCACCGTCGTCTAGAGGCTGTATTACGCAATTCCATGCACATCATATCTGCCTTTCCTACACGACATGCACCTGGCCGAAAATCTGGCCTTTTCACCACTCGCCCTGCTCGCACTCGCCGCCTTCTGCTTCTTCACTTCCCCCACGTGTCTCGAGCTCTGCAAGCCCAACGAGGCTACCGAGATCGCGTGCAATGTCCTCATAGTCGAACCCTAGATAGTAAAGCAGCCGTACCGCCCACCTCAGTGTATCCCGCGCTTCAGTCCGCGTGGCCTCTGTCAATCCCTCGCCACTTTCCTCCTTGGCTGCTACTTCCTCCTGCACTTTTCGGACAATCGCCCATATCGTCTCGTGGTTGGCATGCACCCGTCCCTGCAGTATCATCCTTGCCCCAGACTGCTGCACAATCTCAATGTCCTCGGGACGATCCTCATACTCTCCGCCTCTAGTCACCCGGTACCGAGCCATGTTGGGCAGTCCTCCCGGCGCTCTGTATGGCTCAAACCGCTTGGGTGGCTTGTAGCACCACGTTTCCACAACTTCCCTGCCCTTGACACTGCCGTAGCCCTCAAGCACACCGCATACCACCCGGTTGAAGTCGGCCGTCGAAAGCTTGATGTCGTGCCGCGCCGAGAATGCCAAGAACTGCGAGCAGTACTCTTTCCAGTAACCATCTACCGTAGACATGACGGAGAGTATGCAGTTGAGCTCATCCCGCATGTTCTGCAAGATAATGCGTTCCCATCCAAACAGCAGCCCCGTAAAGCTTTCTTGGGCTTCGCGTCTGCTCTCTTCAGAACCACTCGACGTCCGGAGAAGCTCCGCTGCAAAGGTTGAGATGATAATGGGCCGAGGTCTAAACGTGGCACTTTGCTCCACGTATTGTTGCATGCTCCGCACTGCCTCCCATCTCCCCAGCCTCATCTGGCAACAGAGCAGAGCCGTTAGAATCTCTGCCGGCATTCGCTGCTGTTGATGCTTTTCATTCCATATCCCAGCCCTTTGAATCACTTTGAGAACCAAATCGTTTTCCCCAGCCAACGTCCCAAACCGCACAATCGATGCTGATATGTTGCGATGGCCATACAGCGAAGGGCTAATCAGCGGACCGTCCAGGTCTCCGGAGAAGAGTAGCCATCGCCCAAAGTCAAACATCTTCAATTCTGTCGCCAAGTCTAGCAGCTGCGCTAGAAGTGGCACGGGAAGCTTGGTGTCAAAGGCTGGGAAGCTGACAGGGGGTAGCCTGCTCGTAAACGGCTCATCCTTTCGTAACTGCGGACTGTTTCTCAAAAACGTGAAAAACTCTTGCACAGATCTCTGCTTGTTGTCGTCTGCGTGTCGTTGGAGGAGCGACAAGGTTTCCATGGCACCATTGATGTCTCCGTTTTTGATGAATGCTCGCATAGTGCGGTGCAACAGGCTCAATGGTAATGTCGTTGGCTCAAAGAAGTAGGGGATCTCAGTACTCCGTTGAGTAGCTGCATTTGCAGTGCCGACTTCAGCTCCGAATCCTGGTGCAAGCTCAAAGATGCGTAATAAAACCTCAGGTCGCTTCTCAGGTACAAAGCCACCAGACTCAATTAGCCGCGCCATGATCGAGTCCCAAGCCATAGCTCCGAGACTCAGGTTGTCGGCGTCAAGAAGCGTCTTCAGCGTTTTGATGGACGAAACCACCTGCTCAGGATTAGCGCCGCGGGTGCCCACTCCAAGTCGCAACTGGTTTACAAGTCCGTCTACAAATGCTGTGACCACCTCGCCGCTTATAGTCTTGCGTGTTCGTGCTCGGTCCTCGGGGCTTGCTGATGCATCCTCATACATTGGAAACAGACTCCAACTCCTTTTAGGCATTGGCTTCTTTTTTTCTTCTTGTTCCATAATCTCCCGCCAGCTGATGAGTGCCCACCCTTGCTCTCCTTTCTTAGTTGCCACTTGCTCCAAGATGGAGACTCCGTCCAATACCCACCCACCATGTAGACAGGACCAAAGCACAAGCTCCAGCCATAGCTCTGGCGTCACTTCTGTAACATAGGCCTTGTAACGAGATCCCGGTATTTCGTGCCCAAGAAAGTATTGAGCATTGGCCCGATCCTTTGCTGTCTTGACTGAAGACTCATGCGCCTTCCACGTCGCATCTGACAGCGCCGTAAGGATCTGGGATGATAGCATATGGATAGTCGGAGGTTGCTGCAGCGCATGCTTGTCTTCATGGGGGCGATATGTGTAGACCGAGTCGGGGATAAGACCTATATGATGCAAATATGCAATCACCTGCAAGACATGAGGCATAATGGTCTCCTGCCCAGCACTGCCTTGCTCCGTGGCTGTCAAGATCATATTCCCCAGGCTCCTCCATAGCTGCCCCAACCCTCGCTTTATCGTGACGTTCCGATATCTGATCGACTCCGGAGCAGAAGTTGCTGCATCCAAAGGGAACTTCGACCTCTGTGATGGTGGGCTTCGCTGAAGTACCAGAGGCCTCTCGGTCAGGTCCTTCATACTCTGGTACTCGCATCCCTGCCACATAACATCTGAGTACTGTTGAATCTGAGGAGCAGTATCGGCCGAGTGTTGTCTATCCTCTGCAAGCTTCTTGACCATCCAAACCACAGTCTGCCACCGACCCTCAACCAGCCCTATGTGGCTGATAATATCCACAGAGGCGGCTTGGGCCGAATTGAGAACATAGGCAAGGTCAAATGAGCTCACCGATATGTCGGGGCTGTCTGAAGGTTCTCGTCGCAAGTGGGCTGGGAGGAAGGGCTCAAGGACAGCAAGCCATGCTTTGATGTCACCACGAGCTTCTGGCTGCGGGCAGGGTATCTGCGATGTGATGACTTCTCTTGGCTTCCTTGGACGTGTCGAAGCGGCTTCATCATGGACATGTGTATCCGGGAGAGACAGGGATGGCTGTGCGTGGTTGGAACGGTGTTTTCCACTTGCAAAGGTGCGCTTGGAGGGTTTGGCGAGCGTCGGAACGAGAAATGCGGCCACAGAACAGGAAGCAGCAATCCCGCGAGTGTTGGTCCGGAATGCCTGTGTGAGGGCGCTGCGAAAGCATGTATGCGCAGTGCTCATTGAGGGGTAGCGAATGGGTGGTGGAGGTGAATGCTCGTGACGGCGGCATCGTCTTGACTTTTTCCGACTAGGATAATGACGAACTGCACTCTCCAGTTCCGAGACGCACTAGCACCGCCCGACAGGGGTCCCCTGCTGCGCCTCCCACGTCTGCCTGCCGCTAGTGACCTCACGCGTCGACAGCGCAAACAAGTCGCGACGACTCACAAAGAGATTTGCCAAAAAGAAACGCCCTACTGATTGCCTAAATCCTACAATTGCTGCAAATAGACCCATCTTGCTCTACGCGTATTCTCCAGGAATCCTCTCTCTTTTTCACGCGACACAGCAACCCATCGCGACCATGGGTGTCTACCGTGTCGGTAAGTCACTATATGATTTCCAGTGCATTTACGTTCAATGAAATATGAGCCGCATTCCAAATCACCAATTGACATTGAGCCGGGCAAAACTGATCAGTTATTAGAGGTGTCTCCCAACAACCGCGCTGGCTGCCAAGTCAAGGCATGCAAAGACGAAGGCAAAAAGATCACAAAGGGCGAGTTTCGCTTTGCCGTCCAAGTTACCATTCATGAGCATGTCAGCTGGCAGTACCGCCATTGGTGAGTGTGTTCTGTTGATTCTATTCAAAGACGACTACTAACTAGCGTAGGGGATGCGTCACCCCTAAGCAGATTGAGAATCTGAATGAGACATGTGGAGGCGATACAGACATGGTCGATGGCTACGATGAACTGCCAGAAGAGTTCCAAGAAAAGGTCAAGTTCGCACTCGAGCACAATCATATTCCAGATGAAGACTGCACACGCGTAAGTACTTCATCGACGCATTCTCATATCTCTGCTCACAATCCCAGGACCCCGAGCTCAACCGTCTGGGTGTCAAGAAATCCAGAGCAAAGAAGCCCAAGAAGGGTGATGAGGGCGATGCGTCTGAGGAAGAGAAGCCTAAAAAGAAGAAGTCCACCAAAGTCAAGGACGAAGATGAAGAAGACAAGCCTGCACCAGCCTCCAAGAAGCGCGGTCGTCCCTCCAAGAAGCAAGCAGCAGACGATGCTGAAGAGGAAGAGAGTGCCCCGCCTGCGAAGAAAGCTCGTGCTAACGGTAAGAGCAAGAAGGCCGCAGAGCCGGCGAATGAGAGCGAAGAAGAGGCACCAGCACCTAAGAAGGCCAGGGGTAAGAAGGCGGCACCCAAGAAGGAAGTAGTTGAAGAGGAGGACAAGGAAACAGAAGATGAAGCCCCACCACCTAAGAAGGCTCGTGGCAGGAAGCCTGCTGCTAAGAAGGCGGAAGCCGAAGATGGCAGTGAGGTTGAGGAGGCGCCCAAGCCTAAGAAAGTGCCGCAGAAGAGGTATGTGTGATTGAATTGTCCGTTGCTGGTATGCAAAGTACTAACCAAGACGTAGGGGCCGTAAGAAGGCTTCCGAGTAAGTCTGAGTTCTTAGGAGATGTTGATTTCTTTCGATGTAGTCTCAGTAGGCTAGGGGGCGTTCGTGTGTATCTCACCAAGATGTGTATTCTTCTTCATCATCCAAAAAGAGAGAGATACCCCCAGGTGTAATTTAGTTCAGGGCACATGTACACAATATGTTTTGTTAGGTAATAAGCAAATGAGGTATCGTACACATTGACTTCAAACATGTCTCATTCGCATTCATCGAGTGTGCTTCTATCAAGTACTCTATAGTGCTGTTTCTCATTCTAACCCCCTCCGCCATTACCCCCACTAATTTCAATCTCTCATATATTCAGCGCTGGCTTATAGGGGGGGTTAAGTCAGGCTTGGGTAATCTACATATTCTTTTTTTGTGTCTATCCCTTGGTTTGCGAGAAAGTAGCAGTGACTGTTTTCGAGATAATCTTGCGCTGCCTTGGAAAGCATGACGTATCAGAGTGGCTTGCAACCTCCTCGTCCTCGTCCATGTATGCGTTGCTCGATATGTTACGATGATTAGTTCGTTGACGTTTTGAGGGCAGAGTGTGGTCCTTCGCTGTCGGAATCTGGATCGACATGTCGTTTCCGCTTGTCGTGGCCGCTAGTATCAGCTTACGTCGCTCTTTGCTTGCTTGCTTTTCTTTACATATATTTCGTAACCTTTCGACCATACAAAGTTCGACCTCGCCTTGCTTAACAACAAAAGTAACCGCCTTGGTCTTCTAGGGTTCTGGTGCTTTGCTGAATTCTGGAGTACGCATTGTAAGCGTGGAGATCGTGACAGAGCTGATGTAGGTTGAGGCCCGAGTTCATGTAGTAGTACGAGAGTACCAAAATCTCCACATCGTCGGGATCTTTAAGCCGTAGAAGCCGACCTCAACCCAGCGCGACAATGGCGCCTGGAAACGTTGGATTGTTTCCAACTTGTCTGCCACGGGTATGGTGGCTAGAATTCCTCGAGCGCGGATACCGAATATTCACAGCAGTACGGTGTAAAGCTGCACTTCCCACGGGTTGTTAGCGAATACGACAGACTTTTCGTCTCTGCGCTCCAGCTGATCAGCGATATTGGTAAACATCGCACAGAGACGTGCAGACGAACAGATGATGCGTGGCGCGAGTTGTTTGGCCGGCACGTCCTTTAGCTCAGTGTTACTAAAGGTGAAGATCCTGTCGGCTTGCGGTCCACACTCATGGGCCTTCATACCCTCTCGAATATCAGCACAGAGCTTGACAATAAATGAGTGGTTGTCTTGAAGGGGTGTTCTTGATACAAAGATCGCGATAATCCCGCAGAACAGGATTCTCGACCAATTTGAGCTGCTTTTTCTGCTCCATTTCAGGAGCGCGGGTGTTTTCGTCATACGAGTACTCCATCTCGTCTGACTCGTCCATCGTGTCCTCGTCCATCTCATCGATCTCTCCATCCCGGTCGTCTTCGGATGAACAAGTAATGTCCCCAGAATCGGAAGTTTCCCTCGTAGTACTCAGTCAACGTGGATTTGTCCAATACATCATGAATCTCCGTGGCGAAGAACATTAATACGCAGATAAATGCGAGCCCTAGAATGCGGCGGAACTTGCCGTTTTGCAGGAGCTGCTCTGTATTGCCCCCCTCATCCTTGTTTTTGTGCGGAAGAGATGATGGCTATAGATGTGGTGCCACCCATCTGGCAGTCCATCCTTTATCTTTTATTTCAAGGGTGATCTTCGCATTCTCCGCCTTCATACGAGCCGGAATCTGAATTCGAAGGGCCTGGACGCGTGATATCACAGGATGTATGTCTTCCCAAAGTATGGCATAGACTTTGATGTTCCTGATGTACTGGGTTGGGTTTATACCGCGTTGGATTGGAGCGCAACCAAGGAACCATGGAATATAGGCTTCGTTGACTGTGAAGCTCATTCGTTTATACCAGTTGGCGACCAAGTCTTGGTAGGCAGTGACATAAAAATCTTCGTCTTCGATATTGAGATATCAATATAAGATAATTATATATGGAGTTGAAAGAAGCAATTTATTAGTTGATCCTGTGAGTTCAAAAACCACGGCACCTGCACCCATATATATACCCTCCAGCAACCGCCATTCACTCCAATTTCCTAGCCCTATGAATTTTTAGTTTGTTTACTATAGCCCATGTGTCGGCTCACGTAGTTTCGCATATCCTCCGGCTCACTTGTCGGTACCTGGCTGCCTGCGAGGAGACCCAATCACGTAGCTGAGTATCGTTTATTCACTTAAGAAAAACTTGATCAATGACGAAATATTTGGTGCTGCTGCCTCTGATGTGTCATTTTTCTGTTGTCTTGGAGAACAACTGAGGGCTGGTTGAGACTTTTCACTCCCAACGAAGTGCAAACAAGCCGCAGAAGAGATCATGGAGTAGGCAGACGATCATGCAGTGAAAAGATGGAGTCATGGAAAAACTCTGCGCGGAGTTTCTAGCACGTGTGCTCTGTGCGCTGCTGTTTGGAGAAGCTGCTAGCTTCTCTTGATGGCCGAGCATCTAGCATGCACTGATTTGCTGAAGTGGTCTATTAGAGACAGCTGCGAGCCGTTACTAGGAGCAGATGGCAGTATAATATGCTCGCAATTTCTGATATATAAGAATTTCAGTTTAGCTATGTTGCAGAAGTAGATGATACCCGGGTGTAGTATAGGAGAATATTTTGTCGCCTACCGCCGAAGGGCATTCCACTGGAATGTCTTTTGGAGGCTTGTGGGATGCACATGACCTAAAATATTTTTTCAATGTTTCCAATACTGTATCGGGCAACAGATATTGAGGTCACGGGTTGGAATCGCGAAGCAACCGGGAAGTCAGCTAGATGCCGCACTGATGATCACGAATAGAAACTGGGAATCATGCAACCACCATGTCAACCACAATCACATGAAACCCCTCAATTAACTTCGAACCTACTGCTAATAATACATGATATAAACTTCAAACTGTTCCCTCCTCATAAATCCCATATATTCATAGAAACTTCAATCACCTACCTTACAGAAGAAGTCCCATCGATACCATCCGCCGCATCCCCAAGCCCTTCCTCATCGCCCGGCTCGGCATATGCACCAGGCTGCTTTGCCGCACCACGAGTGCGCTCGCTGATAATGTTGTCGCGGTCGATGGCTTCCTTTTCGTCGCGCTCTGTACTCTATTAGCAAACATCCTTTTAGAAGTGTAGGCAGAGAACTCACCGAGCTGCTGGTCAGAATCACCGCCGTTGTCATACTCGGTGGATTCAATGGGGGCTTCGTCTTTGAGGACGGGGATTTCGGATTGGCCGATGCGGGATTGGTAGGAGTTCTCCATTGCGTTGCCAGTGGGGACTTCGGTGGAGCTCATGATGATAGTGGTGGGAGGATTGTTGGGTTGGTTAAAGTTTGTTGGTGTTTGTGTATTGTGGTAAGATGAAATATTGTGATGTTGTGATGGAGTCAAGGAGTAGTGGCAGCACGTCTTTATGTAGACTTTAATCGCAATGGCTATACGTCATGAAGCTCGTGAAGTGTGTTCAAGCCTCTGATGTGACATAGGATCTAGGATCGCAGACTGCTAGGATGGGCGATCAGAATCCCATGTTGTGATCGAGGCTATGACAGCATGGGCTTGAGAAAGGTCAATTCAACAAAGGTACCAGCCTCCTCGAAGGTGGTGTGTGGTGCAAGTGGGTAATGATGTGTCGATCTGATACGAGGGATCTGACACTAGATGCGGGAGCAGTCCGCATGTGTGATGGCCTGGACATGATTAGTGCTGTGTCATTCTTTGGTATCGTTACTTTGAGAATAAATGGATATAGCGAAGACGTAGAGTGTCTCTTTATCTGTAGATCATATACCTGCACAAAACCGCATCTTAATGGTCGACACGGAAATATTGTCACATTGAATAGATGCCAGCGAGAATGGGACCGCTATTCATCCCTGCGTCATACCATCGCAAAAGGCACATTATTCTGCTAGTTCCCGAGACTTAGATCCGCTCTACCAGCCAAGGGACCATTCGTGCATGCCATTGATCAGCATCAGTCCCAAAACACGCGACGGTCGACGTCAACACCAGATTAGCGTCAGGGGCCGCATGGGGCTCTTTGTGTGGATGCGAAATTGGCGAAATCGATCATGCATCAAGAAAGTGGATTCTGCGAGAATCCGATGACGACGGGCCGGAACGTTTGTTTTGGCGATGGCTGGGGAGTGACGTTGACATGGGCACTGGCGCGAAACGCGCTATCGCGACGTCACGACATGAGAACGCCACTTCTGGTCACTATGGGTGACGAGCATATTCTACATGTCCAAAACACACATTTGAGTATTACTTGTGCATTAGAAAAAGTTACATTTCAACATAAGGATATGTCCATCGCTTCTCAGTGAATACTAATAGTAGTACAAGGTACAACGCCAAGATGCAAACCCGCTGTCAAATCAAACTTCTGTGCGCATTCTACGAGCTTGCACTCGCCTCGACTGCTGTTCCGCTTTCGCTCGTGTCTTTCTTGGCCTCCTCAGTCTTCTTCGCGGCAGCCATTTGCCATGCTGGAATGGCAGCGCGTCCAGTGGGCATCCTGCTGCTGTATGAGGCCGAGGGGGTTGCAAGGCCGTTGGCTTGGCTGTCAGCACCAGAAGTGCCGTTTGCCTGCTCAGCTGGCGCAGGCGTAGATGGTGCCTGGGGTGTGGGTGTTGAAACAGAGGATGTGCCATTCACGTTGGGAGTCTGGGGAGCACTTGGTTGCTGACCGGCTCCGTAGTAACCCGAGGCGTTCTGAGGACGAGGAGCAGCTGAACCCATTCTGTTTCCAATCAATGTCTTCAGACTCTTCAACTCAGTAGACAGCTCCTTCAGTCTGTTGTCGGTGGCTTCCTTGTGAGACTCCAATGCCTTGGGGATCAGATCCCTCAGGCCGCGGACGTCATCTTCAATTCGTCGGTTGTCGTCTCCTTGTCGCTTGGATGATTCTTTGAGGGTTGACAATACGCTTTCCACCTCACCCAGGGCGTCATCAAGTCTTGCCGTCCGGGCCTCTTCGGATGCCTTGAGTGCGGTAGTGTCGGTATTGAGTTGCTCGAGAAGGTCAAAGGCACGCTTGAATGATTCGTCGACAGAGGCCTTGTCTTGCTCTAGCTGGGGCTGCGTAGGCGGCTGTATCAGGGGTAGGACGTATCGCTTTGCGGTAAAGTAGAGTCCGTATCCTACGCCACCCATGACCGTCGCCATGATGAAGTAGTCGCGCCAGTCGCGTTTCGGCGGTCTGTTTCCGTCAGCTGGTGCGCTAGAACTGCTAATCTTATAACTTACTCTGGCGGTGGCGGTGGTGGTTGCCAGTATCCTTGGGGCGGATAGCTTGCATATGGGGCTGCCGGCGGTGGCCTGTATGACGCATTGGTGGCTACTGCGGATGTTTGTGGAGGAGGCGGAGGTTGGCCGGCATCTTCAGCGGCGCGGGCGAGGGAGACGTCGATCTCCTCCTGGGTGAGGTTCTTGGACTGCAGGAATGCTATGCGCTTCTCCAGGGGCGCGCTGGCAACCGACGGGTCCTGGAGGACTGGGTGTTGTTGTTAGCATCGTCGCGTGCAGGGTTGCAATCGCCATCATATTTACTTACACGAGACGGCCGATGTGATGAGATCCTCGCGCACCATTTTGGCTACAAGTTACGCAACACACGTAACAGGCGCAAGATGGCGGGTGGTGATGAAGCTGAGGAGTCGCGAAACGACGATCTAAGGGCTCGAGGCAGGAATGCCTCGGCTCCTTTGCGTCGGTCGGCGGTCGGGTCGGCGCCTGTCTCACGTGGCACCGCCGCAACTCTTTTCCGACTTCGACCCTTTCACGCGAGACTGCCAGACCACACATGCGATGCACTGCACCAAGGATCGATACTGGAAACGACATTGGGTTCTTATCTTGGTCATACATCGCATTCTATTCGTTGTTTCCATTGGCTTTGTGCAACTGAATTTGTTATTTTCGCCAAGACATCTGTCACTGTTGCCCCAGACACAATAGTACATTACCAGTATTTAGGCTTCACAGATTATTGAGGTGAATTGGAAACTTCCACGTTATTCGCTATATTTGGCAAGTTATATTGCACGTTTCGAGCAGTCTGGTCCGCAGCCTCCACGTACCATGGATGACCTCAAATCGTGTCGGAGTCATGATATGGACAGCGTATTAGATTGCACGTCAGAAATATGTAGATTTCATTGCCAGAAACTCTGAGGCATTAAAAGTTCAGAGGTACAAACTGGTTGGCTCTCAGGCTGCGTTGATTAGAATGTCTTATTATATGCGCTGTTTTGTCCTGTGGTTGACTTGCGCAGCATTCACTGCATTGTTACAGGGTCCAAGACATGCGGAGGCTCCCCTTTCACGTTCACTTATCATTATAACCTACCCTCATTGTGACCTACTGAACCTTGTGTATTTCTACATTCCCATCCCATAACCATCACAATTACTCAGACCATTTCTATCATCATTGACCTGCATCATGAACCGACAAACTAACATTATTGACGACGATGAAGTCGCCCGAGCGATGGCCGCAGCCTTGCAGGCCAAGGGAAAGCGTAAGAACAAGGTAACTGGAGGCAGCGCCTCTACTTCTGCCAGATCGAACAAGACCAGCAATGTGCCTGCATCGCGCAAGGCAACAGGGGGCAGCAGTACATCTATTCTAGTCAGACAGAACCAGATCAGCAATGTATCTGGAGCAAGCAGAGCACCAGTAGGCAGTGCATCCAGCTTAGCCAAAAAGAATAACACCACCACCGTACCTGCAGCGAGCAAGGCAACAGGAGGCAATGCATCTACTCCAGTCAAAACGAATAAGACTAGCAATACACCTGCAGCGCGCAAGGTAGCTGGAAGCAGTACATCCACTCCAGTTAGGCCGAACAAGATCAGCAATGTGCCCGCAGCGAGCAAGGTAACAGGAGGCGATGCGTCTACTCCAATCAGACCGAACAAGACCACCACCGTACCTGTAGCGAAGAAGGAAACAAGGACGCCTATTACTGCTACTACAAACAAAAATCCGAGAAGCCGATTTTACGAGGCAGATGGGCTAAAGATACCATTGAATGACCAAGATGGCCTAGGAGATAAGAAGAAACAACACGCTCGGTTGGCACAGTCTCTCCGGCAGAATGACTTGGAAGAACTACTCGATATCGTAGAGCAGTATGCAGGCACTCAGAAACGAATAGAATTCTGCATGCTTGAACTCTCAAAGGTCGAGGTAGCAAACTGGATCGAAGAAAAGGAAACTCTTGCTCTTGGGCGCCACCCCAAATCAACATTACCAAGTAAGTCCTAGAGTCAACAGTTGTACTGCGCATACTGAGACATCATTGTAGTGACAGATATGAATACCGCACATGGCACAATCCAGGCAAAGAAAACGTTCGCTCCTTCACGTACCCCTGCAGCTCCGACACTGAGCAATGGAACAGCAACTCCCTCTGTTCCTTACGCTAAGGAAAACATGCCACATACAACTGTACGAAAGGATACACGTGAGCAGCCCGATAGTCGGAAAAGACGAATCCATGAAGATGAGCCAAGCAGCCAACCGCCACGGAAGCTTCAGAAGCTGAATACTCCGGAAGAACCAGTAGCTAGAGCTGATGAACATCAAGCCGATGCCATTCAACAGGGCAACCCAAGTCCTCAGCCAGTATCACCATTGCCTCAAATGAGCGAGAAAATCAACACGCACAAGGTCGCCAGAGATCGCGGAGTGCGGCAGATGCAGTTCATGATCGATACTGTGATGGATGCTTCCAACCTCGATCTATCCACCACGGTCGTTCACGACAAGAAGAACGATAGAGTTATTACCGCCACAACTAATCCTCGTACTGGCGCGACCCAGTTCTTTGACACAATAGGTGAGTCCCTCAACTGACTCTTAACACGTGATGCATTACAGTCATTACATCCGTCATTCAATATTTCCACATTTGATATTCTAGATTCACTGTAGGCTAAACATATAAACAGTACCCCGAAACATAAGCATTCCGCCAATGCTTCACGCTCCATTTCTAAAACAAGGAAAACACGGCCGCCATGGCGACTTCGTATACGACCCTGACCGTACCACAGGTCGCGGCCATCAAATTAATCCGCACGATAATCGTAGATGGAATGAGTTCATAGTGTTCAATGGAATGTGGCATCATCGTAAGCCACATTCTGTAATTGGAGGGGAGGCCATGTCGGCCGAGCGTGAGATCAAGGAGACATGGGAGAGGTGGCAGATTTGGTGGGGTGAATTTGTTGAAAAGTACCCGGGGTATGCGGTTGCGCACTTATGGCCATGTGGCTGCGAGAAGGTCATGGAGGGAGACGAGAGCGAAGAAGAGTAGATGTGGTGGTCACTTTTAGCATACATGATAAACACGAGTCGATTTACACAACGTGTTCAGTGAACCAGACTCGATCATATCAAATATTATCAGTAGCCTATGAAGAAGAGTTTGTTTCTGGATATTAATGAGTGGGCGCGAGATTTAATTGAAAAAGTGGAAGTGTTTGACGATTGCGCATCATAGGATTGGTGGACGACGAAAGGTTGAAGAGCTCAACTTTGGTTCGAAGTCCGCACAAGACATCTGTAATAAACGACACTGTGAAATATGGAAATACGAGGGAATATTGTCAACAGCGTATAAAGACAGCTGCATCCCTAACGCATCCAGTCCATATTCCACACCACTTTCACACACTGCTACATCACCACTCTCAAGCTCACACAACACCACTTCCAAACCATCCACCACACACACATACAAAATGGCACCATGCGAAACCAAGAAAGTCGCAAAGACCAAGCGAATCCCGCCTAAAGTCAAGCGCAACACAAAAGGCTATCAAACACGCACATCACCACAAAAATCGCCTTCACAAACCACATCCATCGAACAAGAAGAAGCTGAAGGAAATCTCTCCGCAATCCCCCACCACCCCAAAACGCCCCTCAACACCGCCCACCTCCTTTCCATGCCAAAAGTCACAAACTCAATTCGGCGAGCAGAGTTCAGAGAATACGTTAGTCTGGGCATTACACCATTGGACGGCAAGGGAAGCAGAGCCATACAAGGGAGCCAAAATATCACCGCTCCCCTCATCGACGAAGTCGACGAAGAAGAAATAGACGAAGAACTAGAACGAACATGGCAAGATTGGAGAAACGACCAGGAAAGCAAGGAGTTGAAATGGTTTCGGGAGAAGCTATGGGGCAAGGGGAAATGGGCAGTCCGCACCGAGCACGAGGAAGATGTATTATATGTGCGATCTGTATTAGGAGAAGAAGAGTGGGCGGCTCTCTGTCTTTGAATTTTGCTTTCAATTCACTCATGTATATAATTTCTAATAGTCGTAGAAGCCTTTTCCGGACTTCTTACCTAGCCAGCCTGCATCTACCATTTTCTTGAGCAAGACTGCGGGGCGGTACTTTGAGTCGCCAGTGTCGTGGTACAGGACTTGCATGATGGCCAGACAGGTGTCGATACCGATGAAATCGGCGAGTTGCAAGGGGCCCATGGGCACGTTTGTGCCGTTCTTCATGATGCTGTCTATGTCTTCCTTGGCGCCGACGCCTGTCTCGAGGCAGATGACTGCTTCGTTAATGTATGGCATGAGGATGCGGTTTGCCAAAAATCCGGGTGAATCTGCGGACTTCGAAGGGATTTTCCCCATTTTCTCGCAAAAGGCGAGGGCGGTTTCGAGGGTTGATTGCGAGGTTTGGAGGCCGGTTATTATCTCTACGCCTTTTTGGATGGGCACAGGGTTCATGAAGTGGGTGCTTATGACACGCGAGGAGGCGGAGAGGTCGGTGGAGTCGGTGGTGGTGCTTGCTGCGATTTTGGTGATGGAGATGGAGGACGTGTTTGTTGCGAGGATGGCGTGAGAGGGGCAGATTTGGGCCAGTTGGGAGAAGATTTTGTGCTTGAGGTCGGGGATTTCGGGGACGGCTTCGATGACGAAGTCGACGTCCGAGAGGTCGGAGAGCTGCGTGCTGGATGTGAGGCGCTCGCGTACGGCGACGGCATCTTCTTTTGAAATTCGGCCTTTGCCTACGTCTTTTTCGAGGAGCTTGTCGGCGAACTTGAGGCCCTTGTCGATGGAGGCTTGCGAGTTGTCGATTAGTCGCACGGGAACTGAGGCCTTTTGTGCTGCTACGAGGGCAATTCCAAGACCCTGGGTATGTCAGAATGGTGAATATGCTATATGAGAGATCAATTGATGCATACCATCTGGCCAGCTCCAATTACACCCAGCTTCTTCACCTCAGCGGCGGCTCCAACAGAGGGGGTGGAGCTAAAAGCACGGCATTGCTGTCTAGCTGCGCACCGGGCGGCTTGTCTTGAGGCTACGGAAAACATTGCTATTGTGTATACCAATTACAATGGAATTGAAGTGCAAGTACTAGGTGTAAACAGCAAATTGTTCTGATGCATAGCATGTGATGGGGCCAGCCGATGGGAACCGCTGCACGGCTAGCCGAGGCATGACGTTGACTGGCGGGTGCGAGTGCGGGACGCTCAGCCCTATCCTTGGCGAGTTTGCGTTGTTTGAACCAATTTACGCGTCGACGCGTCTTTTGGACTAACACCGAGAACGAATGCATGGGTGAATGAGTATACGGCCATACGGTATCTTGACACAACCACGACGACAATGGCCCAGGCTACCCTCGACGAGTGGGTGTCGGACCCTGTCAACCCCGAAGTGCGCGCCCATGTGTACAGTCTGATTTCTGCCGTACGTCTTCTTACTCACTGATACCATTCGCCGCTAAATAGTCGTCCAGCTTGGCGGTATCGGCGACGATGGTACATACTCGCTCGGGCACGATGCTCTACTATGTCTCAAGGACCTCCGAAAATGGCTCAAGTTTGCGGACGGAGCCCACAACCGGCGTGACGTTGCGCGGTGCATGGCAGAGGCAAACCTCGTCAAGGGAGACTTGTTAGAAATCCTGGCAAAGATATCGCCGACAGTGGTAGAAAGTGGATGGAAACACAAGATCGCAGTGGCCACACGTACGCAGCCATATCTAGTTCTTCGGCTCCCTACTGACTGTCCCAGTCGAACTCCTCGTCCCTCTAACATGGCCCTTTGAAATCGACCCCACCGAAGCCACCGTCAACCATCATCGCCATGGTCCCTACATCCAGCTTGCCCAGATGGGCTACAAGCGCGCAATTCTACAATTTGACCGAGACAGGACCCTCCAGACTGCCGTCAAAATCGCTCTTCCGTCCATGGCAGTGCCCCTCCGAGAACGAACACCCCGAGACGAAGGCATCATTCGCATCGCCCTATACTTTATACGTAATATCGCCATGCTTTCACCCCCGAACAGCGCACCCATGGACATTGACGAAGCCGAGGTGTCTCGTTCTGCCACCATTGACACATTTCATGAGCAGGATATATTCCAGGCCATACTGAGTATCGCGTCAAGCATTGGAGAGGACTTTGTCAGTCAGGACGTCATAATCCTCGAGATCCTGTTCTTTCTTCTCAAGGGAATCGACGCTGAGAAGTTGTTCATGGAGGATAAGAAGCTGAATTCAAAGAACAACGACGAACTCAAGAGCCTGATCCAAAAGGAAAAGGCCATGCTTGCAGGCTATGCACGCAACGCACCAACTAGGCACAATCGATTTGGCACAATGATCTGGATAAAACGAGACGACGAGAAAGTCACCACAATCTCCGGACAGGACGTGCTGGGCAAGGCGCAGGCCAGTATGCAAAAGATGGATGAAACCAAAAAGTGGAACAAGCCCAGGCGACCCGGACGCAAGCAAGATAGCGCTGAAGAGAGGGAGGAGTTTGATTTGCCAGTACCCCTGACCTCTTCAGCCCGGAAACACATCAAAGCCTTTGTGGAAGAGTTCCTCGACTCGTCATTCAACCCCCTGTTCTTACACCTTCGCAAGGCTATTGAGCGTGAAACCGAAAGAGTCGAGACACGACATCCCAGGCAGTTCTTTTACCTTGTTTCATGGTTTCTACGAGCAGAATGCGCTCGCCGACGGACAATGAAGGAAAGAGCCGCTGATCCCAAGAGTCCAGAGGTTTTGTCTGCAGAGGACGAAAGCTACGGTCTGGTTGCCGAGGTCATGAACCAGGAGACATTTATCTTACTCAACCGCTTTATGCAGAGGAGCCAGGACGAGAAGGCATGGCGAGATCTGAATGCTGGACTCAAGTGCTTCACACAGATCCTGCTCACTGTTCACGAAATGTCCGAGTCGGCATTAGAAGATGACCAGGAGATTGCTGAGAACATCCAGAACCGCATCTTTTATGAAGAAGCAACACATGACCGGATAGTCGCCATCTTGAGATCATACAAAGATCAAGGTTTCGGCTACCTAGACGCCGTCACTGAGCTATCTCATGTCTTTTTACGGATGCTGGAGCGCTACTCCAAGCAGAACGTGGACATGCAAATTCGATCAAAACGAAGGACACGGAAAATTAAAAAGAAGAAGGCAGAAAAGCAGGGCGAACAGGCAGAAGAGGAAGGCCATGTTTCCGAAACCGAAGACATTCAACAAGCTCAGAAGACTGTTTCAGAGCGCAAGTTCGATTTTCACCGCTTTTCGGCAAAATTTGTGAACCAGAGCAGTATCAATACCTTTGTGGCCTTTACCAGGTACTTTAATGATCTGGATACTGAGCAGTTGAAGCGCGCACATCGCTTTTTCCACCGCGTGGCATTTAAAATGGAGCTGGGGGTTCTCCTATGCAGAGTCGACATTCTCCATCTATTTAACAAGATGATGAAGGGTCCTGGAGGTCTCGATCCCGAGTCGTCAGTTTACAGGGAATGGGACGAGTTTGTCAAGCACTTCTTCAGGCAAGTAGTGAAGAAAGTGCAGGAGAGGCCAGAGCTTGTAGTCGAGATGTTGTTCAGCAAGATTCCAGCAACTCTCTTCTTCCTCGAACATGGGTACGAGCGTGAGGTACCAACAAAAGCACCACGAGCGCCGGCAGAGCTGGAAGTTAAGCCTGGTCTCGAACCACCCGAGCAAATTGGTGTTGCTGTTGGCGTGCTTGTCAATCAGTCTAAATCAGACGCCCTTCGATGGGTCCGAGATGTTCTCACATCGGCGGCTGAGGAGCGGAAGGCGTGGGAAGAGGCTGCAGAAGCACAGAAGTTATTGACGGCAGAGATGGAGCGCCCTGAGGACGAAACACCAGCTGAAGATGCAGAGGCTGAGACAGCAAAGCCTCCATCCATTGGTAAGCAATATCTGGAAGATCATCTTGCTACATTGGCTGACTGATTGTGTCCAGTGATTAAACATGACACCGAAGAACGTCGTGTTGCCATGTTCAAAGACAACAAGCTACGACTATTCATGAAGTTGGTTGGCTTTGAGCGACTGGGTGAACATCACGACCCAGATGCTGTGTGGGTCGTACCATCAAACCTCACATCAGCACAACTACAAGAGTCTATCGATCTCATCCGCAAGTTTGAATTCGACCCGCCAACATACGAGGATGGTAAAACACCAGAAGATCTACTCCGCAGCGCGACCGCTGCCACACGCCGCTCAGCACGCCGTGTTGACTTCGACGATGATTCAGACAATGGCATAGATGATGACCCTGAAGACCACGGCGAATACGCCCAAGGCGGTCCCACAACACGTGAAGGCGACGCCCCCCGCAAGAAACTCAAGCGGCGCCGCCGCCAACACACACCCGTCGAACTCGACGACGAAGAGAAAGACCGCCGCGCCAAAGCCCGCCGCAAAAAAGAAATCGAAAAGCAAGCAAAAGCCCTCAGCACAATGTTCGTCCACGATTCGGATGACGAAGACTGGGATGCAGAAAAAGACGCCGCCTTCTTCGCCCGCGAAGAAGCCATCCGCCAGGAAAACATGCAGGTATTCAAGAAATCACTCGTCCTTGGTACCGTCGAGCCTGTTGCTTCAAAGAAGCGGAAAGCAGATGATCAGACTGAGAAAAGTAAGAGGCGCAAGAGTCCGCCAAAACGGAAGGCGCTGTTTGATGATAGCGACGATGATAAGGAAGATGAGGATCGTGCAAGTAGTAGAGCCACATCCGAAGCTGCTGGAAACGTTCTAGATGACGAGGAAGAGGAGGAGGATACTCCGCTCTCCTCGCAAAATCCTGGGGCAACGACGGCGAGTGATGGAGATATTACGCCGAGGAAGGAGTCAACGGTTGAGAAGAGTGTGGATGTTACGATGACAAATGCGGATTCGGATGATGATGATGATGATGATGTTGCTGCGCCGACTAGACGGCCGGCGAAGCGGAATACGAGGGCAGGGTTTGTAGTTGATAGTGATTCGGAGTGAGGAGGGTGTGGGGGGTGGGGTTTTAGTAGTTTTGGTTTGTGCTGTGGGATACCCAATTTTTTTTTTACATCAACGAAAGCTTTTGTTGTGATTGGGGTAGGTTGTGTTGCGTGTTTGTGATGTCTTGGAAGTAGTGATGGGAGATAGCTTGTCATCTTTTACAGTGTGTCCAGGGTGAAGTATGATAACGGAGGTGGTAGCATGATATTCTAAACCGGCATGTTTAAGGACTTTAGAGTAATTGTACATACTTCTCGCTGGGTAAAGCATAGTAGTAGAGGCTCGTTCGAGAGGGAATGTCTGGGGTGCTGGACTTTCTTGTGGTCGAGAATTGTGCCTAGGTCGTCAGCACAGATTCATTGTCTGGGTGAGATGGTCGTGATCACGGTTAAGAGGCAGAGTGTATCTTGTAGGGTGCAATTCATGTTCATTTGATCAAGTTTGGTCTGTGATAATCTGCAGGCCAGACCTGAAGAGTGGAGTCTGTCAGTAGACCTGAGTAATCTAGAATACATGATAGCAAGTCGTATGCTTGCTTTGTCTAAGGCTTCGCCCGTTGCATGTTATCAAGTACCGTTCCCGTGGCTGTTGTAGCGTCCTGGTTTCTAGTCGTAGTGAATCTCACGATCTCAGGGGGGCGGGCGCGTTCCAACTATGGCTTTCAATGCATCTACCAGAGCTTGTTGAGGATACGTATCAAGAAAATCAAGAATACCGCTATTCAGTTCGTCTTCCCACAACGTATCTTCAAGGTTTGAAGTAATCAAACGCCGAAGTGGAGAATTCGAAGGGGTCCATTCGTAAATCATCTTGACACACTCTGCTGTAGGCCAGCCCATACTGGTAGCTAGGATCTCTTGCATCTTCTCCGAGACCTCTTCCGTGAAAACTGAATCGATGATCTTTTCTCCGAAGATGTATGCTTTCGCAAGCACAATGAAGTTTTTCTCCGCTTCTCTGGCCTCCTGTTCACCATTACTTTTGTTTGCTTTGTGCGTCATGTATAGCTTGGCTGGAATTTCATTCGAGTAAAGCCATTCAATGTATATTTTGACCGTTTCCGTGCAATCCTCAGGAAGATTGATGACATGGGGTTTATCTTTCGAGCCAGCCCACTCCTTTTTCATGGCGTTTTGAAAGAAACTTGAGCTCTGGCAAAGGACACTTTGGTGAACATGAATGTTATCAGTACCACCAGCGGTGTTTTTGACTTTCAGCGTGATGATTGGGTCGAATGCTCTATGTTTGTTAGAGACCGAATATACGTTCGTGGGTTGTACTTACTCCATCTTGGTCGTCGTGTAGAAAGGAAGGCTTCTCGATTTGTGCGGTCAGAGCCAGTATTCTGATAACACTCGCGGGTGAGTCCAAAGTAAGGAGCGCAGTCGCAGTTTGCGCTGCAAAATTTGAGTGGTTATTTGCGTGGGCTTGTGAAGCAGTGAGAGCAAACGGTGGTTAGTCTCGTCGTGTGACTGTGGTGCAAACGCCGTAGACTAAACTATGACGTCGCTATATACAGTGAACGAAGGCAGGTAATTCACAAGTGAAAGTGAAAGAGGATAAAACGCAACTCACGGACTCGCTAGACACATATCGTAATGAGTTAAATTGTATACTTCCTTACGCTGGCGAAATGGGAACCCCTACCACGAGGTATGGTAGGGATATGGTAATGGTCACACGGGCCAAGGATAAGGGTAGGGGAGGGTTGCCAAGAGTTGGGTAGAGGTAAGGGTAGGGTAGCACGGGCCGTGGGTAGAGGTTGGGTAGGGGTAGGGTAGGATCATTCGTAAACCCAACCCTACTCTACCTTTACCTCTACCATTTACCACCGCATAGCTGCATATAACGCCACCGAAACCGAGTAGTACTGAATCAAATCACCAAACGAGAACAGGACTGCATTTCAAGCACACTTGTACGAATTCCATCTGATAAACTGATCTATCTGATATATCTCGCCTTGACAAGAAGAGGATCCTTCGCCCACAACAAATGCACCTTCTGATCAAGCCAATTCGAACTTTCGGGACACAACTCGAAATCAAAGTGCCAAGTAAGCGATGCGAGAATAACGCGCATCTCATGATTAGCCAGGCTACCAACACCCCAAAGCGTTAGTTTGTGTGTCTCTCTTTAACTAGTTTAAAATCTTTTTGGATGATTGGATGAACTCACTTTTGACCAATACAGTTGCGCGGCCCAACAGAAAATGGATTGTGTACATTTTTGCGATCGCTGTCGTAACCAGTTCCAGGGAACCAGCGCTCGGGAATAAAGGAATCTGGATCTTTGAAGTTGGAAGGGTGGTGGTAGGCAGCGTAGTGGGGGATAGCGACTTTAGTCTGTAGTGATAGATTAGCGAAGCCGTCATGTAGTTCGCACTATTATCGTAGGATGTGACTTACGCCTCCTGGTATCCATTCTCCACAGATCATGTTGCCGCCCTTTGGTGTGATGCGGAAAAGGGCAATTGGGGCAGGCGGGTAGATTCTAAGGGCTTCTTGGAGACATGCGTTGAGGAAAGGTAGACGGGCTAGGTTTTCAAGGTTCAAGTCTTCCCTGCCTAGCGCACGCACCTCGGTCTGTAGTCTCTGCATGTAATGTGGATGCTTTAGCAGGAGGAATGTCAAGCCACTGAGTAACGTGGCGGTAGTTTCCGTTCCGGCCATCATGAATGCTTGTGCGTGGGCCGTCATCTGTATCTTTGACATGTCTGGTACTTGATCTGTCTTCTCCATGGCAAGCTTCCAGATGTCGGGTTTCCCAATGTCGATGCCGCGATTCAGCCGCTTCTCTACCCGCTCGTAGGAGTGGTTGTAGTGGAGACGTGCGCCATCCATGACTTCTTTGGTGGTGAGCATTTTCGTCAGAAATTTCAAACCCTTATACTCGCGCGCCAGACGGGCGATTGAAATTTTTCGGACGTTTCCAAGGACGGCTTGGACCCAAGGCGATAACTCTGATTGATCGAGGAGGCCAAGAGGCTCTCCAAAAGCTAGATCTGCCATAATATCAAAGGTCATACAGTTGAGTAGTTTGGCGATGTCGAATCCAACAGCTGGGGTAGTTGTTGCGTTGTTCTTGATGATCCTTACGAGTGAGTTGAGGTAACCTTGGATCAATGGCTCTTGTAGCTTCAAAGCCTTGTCGCTAAATGCCGGTGCAAAGACCCTTCGATGCATCCTGTGAACCATTGTGTCGGGCTGGGAGCCTAAAGACAATGTACCGACGAAGTCTGGTCCAAATGTTCCTGGGTCTTTCGTATTCTCGAGGCGCTTGCCCGCTCCAGGGCCAGCGATATCTTTCCAAGCTTCAGGTGTCACGTAACTTAGTCGATTAGGTCCAAGCCGCACAACCTCGCCGTATTTCCTGTGCATTTCTGCTTCCCATGCAACCTCTTCGCCACGTAGAACCTTGTAGGAGAATACCAATCCAGTGGCTGCTGCGAGACTTGGACCGGGAACTAGTGGGGCAACTTAGTGGACGGCCTCGTTCGGACGAGTAGACTGGACCTACATTTGCGTAAAGGGTGGAGATATAAATTATAGAAGCGGGTAAGGATGAATTGTAAGATAGCCTGCGTTCTAGTCAACAAGTTGTCAAGATGCAACAGTGATAGGTTCCCTTACTGCTCCAAGCATAAAACCAAAAAGCAGCAATAGATTTTTGGCTTCCAGAAAGGTAGAGACATGGTAAGAATGTTGTAAATTCCCCATGTTGAAGAATCAGGATTCAAGTTATACGTTTGGAATCTTCTCTGTGTCGCAGTGGTTGTCCAAGAGATGTTTGCAATAGCTAAGCAACAGCGCAAGAAGGGGAGTTCTTAAACTGCAGATGATGGACGATGTTCGTACGAGCCATGTAGTGGATATAAAGCAAAAGAATGTCTGATTGGTTACTAAGACCCATTTGCGATCATCGTACTATAGGGGGTGGGGTATCGGAGAATCGGAGCATCGGAGCATCGATGTAACAATACATGAGAACAAGAGAAAGTGAGTAGTGCACAACTGTAACCACACAAATTGAGAACTTGGTTTTCTGGAGTTTGGCGGGTTTTTCACACTTGAGCGCCGTCTCTCGGCGCTACTTGGCCTGCATGCTAGATATGTAAGCTTCTGGATTAACGTCAAGGATCAGTCATCCGGCCAAATCAGTCATCCGGCCAAATCAGTCATCCGGCCACCCCACCTAACTTGGCCCACCGTTCTGTGCAACTGCTCTACAATAACGCAGTAAAATAAAATTAAGAGATATTATTCTTTAGATAGATTTACATGAGATCCGAGTATGTCCTTGAACGTGGCACTTCGTACACGTCGGCGGCGCGCGCTGACGTCGCTCACCAGCCTGGCTCTNGCTAGCCTCCATCACCACCCTTTCTGCTTCTGCAGCTATCTGCTGAGCCTGTTGAACTTAGAGCACTCTACTAGAAGCAATATATTAACGCTGCTAAGTCTACTTTCGTTATTAACGCTAGACTTCTATACGTAGCTTCTTATTCTCCTCTATAAGTATTATTACTAACTGCATTACTATTTAGCAACCTTTAATAACTTAGCGTAGAAGCTGGCTTATTGGGCTTTATGATTGCCGATAGAGCCGTTCTTAAAGAAGCTTTGCCTGCTGCTGAAGCTGAGCTACTATATAGGGTGTTTCTAGCTGCGTTATAGCGTTATTATCTATAGTTGTCTATAGTGGAGACGGCGTGTGGACAACTGTAAGTGACGATAGGACGCGATTAGAATAAGGAGGGATAAGTCCTATCGCGTAGAAGCCTACCTAGATATTCTTCTGTATAAATACTATCGGCCGGATCCGCGTATAGGCTGTAAGGAAGTCTGTCTTATTAACGTGGTAGACGCCTTAGCGGGTAAGCTCTTTAATCTCACGTCCGTACGCGCGCTTAAGCAGCGAGAAGTAGCTTATATTAAGCGGCTGGAGAAGATGCGACGTGTAAGGCGGCATATAGAGAGTAATAATCTTATTATCAGCGCAGTACTGGTCGAACTCTAGCGCAGCATAGCTACTATGGCCGTCTAGGATAAGAAGCCGATAGACTCCAGCTATACGAGCTGCCGTATGCTGATTAAAGTGCTTCACCCACTCTAATCTAAGCTAGTTAGTCGTCCAACCATTGTCTAAGACGCCGATAGCCTAGTCTAGTAGGAGCCTATTATACCAGCTATTCTAGTAGAACTTGCCAGATAAGATAACTAACGGTGGCAGAGACTAGCCAGACGCGTTAACGCACTCGATCGCTGTAACCCACTCGCGGTTACCTAGCTGTACAATAGCTACTCAGCTAACTCTATCAGAGCTAGTCACAACTTTTGACGTTACAGCGACGCCTATCGCGAATCTAGTCTCGTCAAAGTTATAGATATCCTAGTCAAGAACGCCGTACGTCTAGCGCGTCTCTTCTACTAGCTTAAACTAGGCTGCAATTGCGATAGGATCCTTAGAAAGAGCGCGCTAGCTACTAAACTTCCTAGTCCACTTCGTCTGAAGCTCTGGCTGGCTCTGGATAAAGCGCGACACCCAGCATTTGCCCACAGGTGCTGGAGGTGG